CCTTTGGGGGGGGGGGGGTAGGAGGGAGAAAGAGAGAGAGAGAGAGAGGAACGGAAAGAGAGGAGCCGAACGTGGAAACGATACGCGGGGACAACCGAGACACAGGTCGTTGGGTCGCCGATCGACAAATTTTTCCGGGCCAGAATTAAATTTCTCATGCATGGCCGCACGTGTCGGGAACCGGTGCTCGACGAAAATGATAAGATTACACGTGAAATGCCGCTGTTCTAGCGTTACGATCAAACGGCACGCGGCTTTCTGCTAGTTTCACGTGCGCATAGCGCAGGAAATTGCGGACCAAGGAAAGTCGGATCGTTGTTGCAAAGATTGAAAAGTTTGTTAACCCTGGCACGATCCTCCTGATAATACGTGATCATTTACTCGGCCGCGATTATGGTACAAGTTGATGTGCATCGACCAAAACAATCCATGCGTTTTCACCAGAAACCCTGATTGTTGCAGCAAAAATGCACTCGCGATCAACTAACCTAAATAAAGGAAACAGAACGCCCCTCGACGAGAATGATTATCAATAAGGAAGATTATTTTCGGACGCTTGTAATAAATATTTGTAACAAAACGGTTAAAACTCGAATTTTCTTTATCACATGTTCTGCTGAAAAACTTTCGTCTCGGTTTGTGTCCGTTGCTTTTTTTCTATAAAAACTTATCAAACAACTCATTTTCCATTCTCGATATTTTCACGCATTGTTGTAATATCTTGCAGATTTTTACTTTCACGTTTTTATCGCGTTGTTCTGTACACGTTCCAATAAATGAAAGCGAACATGTAAAAATGACAAGAAAGTCTCCACTTTCGTGCAATTTTATCTCTCATTTTGCTGTTACGGTCGATTCAGATTGGCAAGCATGAGCATAGAATCGGTATTGCATGCAGAAAGTTGAAAACAAATATCGAAAATCCGTGAATCAGCTGTGAAGATAGTTAACAAACGAAGTTGCAGAGAGATTCGGACGGACGCATCGAAAAAGCTCGTCGACTAATAGAAATTTTATTTAACACGTTAACCGTGGAATATCGACGCCGTAGAATCTTCCAATATCGAAGTAATCTGACTAATGAGACCGAAACCGGGAAGCGAGGATTTATCACGGTGATTGCTACTTTAACCTTTTCATCAATGAGCTCCAATAAAATCGGATCCGCTGAAACACGTCGTAACAGCTGTAAACATCCGAATCTGATCGAAAAGTTAATATACCGTTTACCTGAAATCTCCGAGCGCCGGTATACTTATGAAGGTAACGTATTCGTTTCTGGCACGAATGGAACACGATCGATCCGTACGGAAGCGTAAAACCGCGTGCTATCTTTCGCGATACAACACTCGAGGATCGCGTACGCGAGGGTTAATTTCGCGAGAGAACGCTCGGACCGGAGCTTGCTACCGACGAGAAACGCGCCGAATGCTCCTATAAATGGGAATGCATTATGCGGAATGATTGACTGAGTAAGGAGCCGCGATAAAGTTTCAAATTCGCGGGCAATAAATTTCCGCAGCAGCAGCAGCAGCCGGGCGAGAAGTATTTCTTATAACTCACTTAAGCCCTTCGTAAAGAAAACAATTCTCTGTTTAGCGCCCAGTTCCGGAACTTTGTCTTCGGGAATTGGAGCGCGCATAAACATCCCCGGCGCGCTTACTAATAACTTCTCACCAGACTGCGGATTTTACGCGTTCCCAATAAATCCGACGCCGTGCGAGCCCTGTAAAATTTGGTAGTAAAAGAAGGGATCTCCGTGGTCCTGTTAAATTCCATTTTTCTTCGTCGCCGCGTCAGAAAATCCGGACAATAACCACAACCGGAGGGCCCTCAATAATCCATTACCCTCTAATCCTCCCCGGAGCGGCGTCCCTCCTTCGCTCGCCGTGGAATCCGCGTTCTCCTCTGAATTTCCCCGAACCCACTCGTCGTTCTCTCTCGTCGTTTAATATTTCGCTAAAGAACTGCGACTGGAATAAGCGAAAAATTACCGGCGCGATCAAGGGGTTGACGCCCGGCGAACGAGGGCTGGCTTTAATTCGGTCGCTCGCCAACAGATATCACTGACGGGTATCGCGGAGAGAAAAAGAAAGAAAGTGAGAGAACGAGAGAGAAAGAGAGAGAGAGAGAGAGAGAAAGAGAGAAGTAGAGAGATAGACTGGGAGACAGAAAAAAATAAGCGGAGACTGACGCGACGTTAATAAATGGAGCCGCGCGCGCGCGCGCGCGAGCGCTATTTTCCAGAAATACGTTCTTTCCCACCGACGATTTTCCATGTTTATCCGTTTCAGACGCCAGAAAACCAGGGCACGCCGCCGACCAGACACTCGGAACAGGTTTTCGTCACCGATCGATCCTGCACCGACATCCTCACTTTGATCGTTCTGATCGCTCTCGCAGCCGGTTACGTACGTCTCTAGCACTGCCTCGTCGCCGAGCATTTTCCTTTTTCTTCGTCCAACCTCGCCCATCCCTGGTCCCCACCCGATCTGCTCCGTTCCCCTCGTCATTTCGCGAGCGACGCAGCCAGAATATACATATTTCCCGTTCTGCTTCCGGCGCAGGCCTTCCTGGTGAGCAACACGGTGAATAAAGGGGACATCTACCGCGTTATAAATGGCTACGACGATTGTGGAAATGTTTGCGGTCGTACCAATACCAAGGAGACTGATCCCCAGTTCAGTTGCAAGGGCGTCGACAAGACGAGAGACCGGTAAGCATCGCTGTGCCACCTTCTCTGTCCATCCCGCGTCGCCTCCTCGTGCGTCCACCTCTGTACAAGCCCGCCGAGGAACGGCCATAAACCCGGCCGAGTTTCGCCCGGCAGCCCGGAAATTCGCTGGAAAATGTTAAAGGCTGAGTAATTAGCTCGCTCGGATTCGTTGATGGGACTTTAATTCGTCCTGGGCTCATGAATTTCCACCGACGATTGACGACCCGCCGTCCGCGGTCCTGTGACCCCGTTGCGGACCCTTCGTTTTTGCTGATCAGAAGCCCGGCTAATTTTTAGACGTGTTCTTTAACCTTCCGTGCGACGCATTCGCGTTTTCGCCGAGCTAATAATTCCCCGGAGCCGCATGAAACTGCTCTCCGCGGTGCTGATCTTTTTTTCGGTGGCGGACCTGTTTGACGGATCCCGTGGCATGAACGCCTGAATCCGCCGACTCCGTGTCTCTTGACCCCTACCGCGAAAATTACTTGTCCCGCCGGTATAAACTTCTTTGCGCTGTGATTAATATGTTTAACCCGCTGCGATCTTTATGTGGTTTCTGGAAAAATTGAGTTGGATAGCCTTTGGTGTGCCATGTAAGAGTACACAACACTCGAATGCCGCGAGGAGCTCAAAGAAACTCGACGTTCTCGCGATTTTGGTGCGACGTTCGTAGCGGAAATTGGGGTGCAGCAATTCGCGTTGGAATTTTCAGACACCCAGACACTACCATTGCGAAGTCAAAGCGTTTGATCATCTCATCCGGCGATGGTTTACAATCGTTAATAAATTTTTCTATGGAACATTTTCATTTGCTTGGATACGACTGCACAAGTGTCGCATAACTTTTGTTTCAATTGTTCGACTATACAGTCTGTGGCTTAGAAATAGACTGGATTTTTATGCAAAATAAGAATTGTTTGCATTAATTGCAACATAAAACAGCCAAATAGGCACTTCGTTCTTTCTCCAATTATGTTATTGGGCTCGAAATAATATAACAGTATTTTCAAATTCTTTAAGTGTTTTTACTGTTTTATATTTGATCTATTCAGTTTTGTCATAAATGCATCAAATACGCAGTCTACTTATTACGTCGTTAGATTCGGATACTTCATATTTTAATTGAAATATCTCTTAAAGTATTAGTCGCACGAATAGCTCGTAATATCATTCGACTATTGAAAAGCAATACATTGGATAACAAGTTCGCCACGTCGGATCAAAACGGACCCAGGAACATCAACGATTCGAAAATTAATATTCTATTAAAGCTTGAGCCGTTGCAAAAGTTTTGATCGATTTCCTATAAATTACTCGATTTTGTTTCTGACTTGATTTATCCGATCATTATATTCGATATCAATTTTCCATTGTTCCGGCGTTGTTCTCTCTATTGTAAAACGCGCACGATGTTCGTTTATTAATCGAAGACGCGCTCGATAATTGTTCCCGTATAAATCTCGCGCGTCGTTTGTTAATTTACAAAATTTCTTCGAATGCAGAATGGTTTACGCGAACCAGCCACCGGTACCCAACCACAAATATTTCCATCGTTAGAACCGTATAATATACGAATAAAACTTCAGCGGGCACGACCAACGCAGAAACACAATTAAAACTTCCATTGTTTTTCACAAACTCGTTTATCCGTGGATATTTTGAAAATCAACAGTCTAATGAGGAAGTGTCCCGAGACAATTTTTGCATATCGAATGTAATTTGTGTATCACATTTGAAAATCGTCGAGCGTTTGCCGATTCGACGGTAAGCCCCGCGTAGAATTGTTTTCCGTTCGTTTCAGGGATTTTTTTTTTCGATGAAACGTTTATTAATACGGTTACTATAAACGAAGCAGTCTGCGTCACGATAAATTGCAATAATTGTAATCTCCTTACCGGAGAACCGTGAAATTCTCTTCCCGCTCTAGCGAGTATCCCCGCGTTTCTTTCGCTGTTGTTTTCAATTGATTCCATTGCGGACGGTGTGTTTCCATTAATTATTTCGTCCGTTCGTTGAAAATGAAATCGAATCATCTGGCCGCCGCCATGTTGACGCGAACCGGTATGTTCGGAGAGAGAGAGAGAGGGAGAGAGAGAGAGAGAGAGAGAGAGAGAGAGAGAGAGAGAGAGAGAGAGAGAGAGAGAGTGTAAATCTAATTCTTATTTCTCCCGCTTAGATCGATACCCGCACCTCCGCGCAGCACAAAATTACGTATCTTGCTGGCCGCTTTCGACCAAACAATTATTCGTACACAGCCGAAAACGAACGGTTAATTAAAACGAAAGATTGCGTTCGAAATTACAGTGTGTATGCACGTTCTCGTGCTGAATTACAAATTGTTCAAATAAGGGGATTTCCACAACTGTTTCAACCGGCGGCACGGCAAAAGATAATATAATATATGGTGCAATAATAATCACGCGTTCCACGGGGAGGGGGGGCGAGTAAAAATACATGAACCCGGGATACATAAATACAATAAAATTCGAACGAGCTAGTCGGCCATCCGAATGCTCGCCGAGTAAACCCGCTAAATTGTAAATCGTTCACGGTCTGAATGTTAGAGTTCAATTTACCACGTTCTCTCCTTCCNCATAAATGCATCAAATACGCAGTCTACTTATTACGTCGTTAGATTCGGATACTTCATATTTTAATTGAAATATCTCTTAAAGTATTAGTCGCACGAATAGCTCGTAATATCATTCGACTATTGAAAAGCAATACATTGGATAACAAGTTCGCCACGTCGGATCAAAACGGACCCAGGAACATCAACGATTCGAAAATTAATATTCTATTAAAGCTTGAGCCGTTGCAAAAGTTTTGATCGATTTCCTATAAATTACTCGATTTTGTTTCTGACTTGATTTATCCGATCATTATATTCGATATCAATTTTCCATTGTTCCGGCGTTGTTCTCTCTATTGTAAAACGCGCACGATGTTCGTTTATTAATCGAAGACGCGCTCGATAATTGTTCCCGTATAAATCTCGCGCGTCGTTTGTTAATTTACAAAATTTCTTCGAATGCAGAATGGTTTACGCGAACCAGCCACCGGTACCCAACCACAAATATTTCCATCGTTAGAACCGTATAATATACGAATAAAACTTCAGCGGGCACGACCAACGCAGAAACACAATTAAAACTTCCATTGTTTTTCACAAACTCGTTTATCCGTGGATATTTTGAAAATCAACAGTCTAATGAGGAAGTGTCCCGAGACAATTTTTGCATATCGAATGTAATTTGTGTATCACATTTGAAAATCGTCGAGCGTTTGCCGATTCGACGGTAAGCCCCGCGTAGAATTGTTTTCCGTTCGTTTCAGGGATTTTTTTTTTCGATGAAACGTTTATTAATACGGTTACTATAAACGAAGCAGTCTGCGTCACGATAAATTGCAATAATTGTAATCTCCTTACCGGAGAACCGTGAAATTCTCTTCCCGCTCTAGCGAGTATCCCCGCGTTTCTTTCGCTGTTGTTTTCAATTGATTCCATTGCGGACGGTGTGTTTCCATTAATTATTTCGTCCGTTCGTTGAAAATGAAATCGAATCATCTGGCCGCCGCCATGTTGACGCGAACCGGTATGTTCGGAGAGAGAGAGAGAGGGAGAGAGAGAGAGAGAGAGAGAGAGAGAGAGAGAGAGAGAGAGAGAGAGAGAGAGAGAGTGTAAATCTAATTCTTATTTCTCCCGCTTAGATCGATACCCGCACCTCCGCGCAGCACAAAATTACGTATCTTGCTGGCCGCTTTCGACCAAACAATTATTCGTACACAGCCGAAAACGAACGGTTAATTAAAACGAAAGATTGCGTTCGAAATTACAGTGTGTATGCACGTTCTCGTGCTGAATTACAAATTGTTCAAATAAGGGGATTTCCACAACTGTTTCAACCGGCGGCACGGCAAAAGATAATATAATATATGGTGCAATAATAATCACGCGTTCCACGGGGAGGGGGGGCGAGTAAAAATACATGAACCCGGGATACATAAATACAATAAAATTCGAACGAGCTAGTCGGCCATCCGAATGCTCGCCGAGTAAACCCGCTAAATTGTAAATCGTTCACGGTCTGAATGTTAGAGTTCAATTTACCACGTTCTCTCCTTCCGCGCGAACACAAAAGTGTTTCGCGCCGGATATCAATGGGAGCGGTTCTATTTATTTAGATGAAAATATTTCCGCGTATTCACGTAAGCAGAATAGCGGCAGCGTTTTCACCGACTTCGGGTGCGCTTCGCCTGAATTTTAAGTTTCTCCTTTTTCCCCCCCATCGGCGCCCCGCTCCGGCTCCGGCTCCGCTCCGCTCTGCTCCGCTCGGCTCGGCTCGGCGCCGCGCCGTTCCGCGCCGGTTTGAAACGTGTCGGTAAAAAGTTCGTGTCCAACTTTCCCGTGTATCCTGTTACCCGGCAAAAATATTCGCTGAATAAATTTGTTAGTGCGCTAATCCTTTGCGGTCGAAGCTGGGGATATAATTTCACGCGGCGCTCAGGTTCGCCCGGAGGCGTTAGAAATTAGATTGCGCCGCTGTCTTCGCCGCGGCTAAATGAAAAAATTCGCGGCGCGGATTCTACGATCGTTCCGCAATTTCTTCGTCAATTTCACGAGCGACCGTCATCGGCGCGGAAACAATTTTCCACGGTTATCCTAGCCGGAGATCTCGGCCAGAAATTTTCGGCATTTCTTCCGCGAAACGCCGCGCTGCCGACGCGCTCCGGCCCTCCCCCGCGCCCCGCGCCCCCGTTCACCCCCTTCGAAACGTGTCCGTAGATTCTCCGCTGCCTTTGAGACTGGATGAAATTATTCGCCAAACAAAGTTGCTGCCGCGCTAATCCTTTCAGGCGGACGCGCAGAATTCGCTGGAAAATATACTTACGGCAACAACTTAGGCGCCCGGCAACGCTTTCTAACGGACTTCAGTTTTACACAGTTTTTGCGATACACGCTCCGGGAACACGCAAAGTTACCGGAGTCGCGGTTAAAGCGGGCTCTGTTTAACCAACGGCGTTTGATAAATAGAAATATAACAATAACGACGTTCCGCGAAATATATCCGGTTGTTTGTCCGTGGCGCGGAAATCTTATCTCGCGCAAATGCAGAAATAGAGGAATAGAGAAAGTGTTTGCCAGAGAAACCATCTGAATCGTTCGCCAATCGGTCTCCCCTCTTTTGGTTCAGGATTTATCGTAACTAGACTGCGAATCTTTGTGCAAAATAAAAATTATCTACGTTAATTATAGCAAACGTGAGTCCAGTAGAAATTTCTTTCCTTCTTTAGTAATTTCAGTCGGTTGAAAATAATACATGATTGTTCTTAAAATCTTTTAATATTTTCTCGTTTCTAATTTCATCTATCCATTTTTGTCGTAATGCAAAAAACCTGCAGACTGCAAGGTCATAATCATTATCTCGATCAGGTGTCGCTGCCTGATTAGAACAGTTGAGAAATGCAACTGTAGATAAAATGAGTCGGTTAGAATCGTAGTGGCGTGAGTCACATTTTCCTCATCGTGAGAAACAAGCAGTGTTATTTTTTTACTAACATGGGTATCGTTTACTGATCAAATTTATTGTTAGGATAATTTAGTGCTAAGTTAATTTATAGTAAGTTTACAATTTATCTCATATGTCTTTTCAATACTTTAGGTTACATTTTCAGACGTATCTCAACATTTTCACTATAATTCTATTCCACAAAAATGTAAATCGGCAAGATTAGTGCAAAAGTCAATGTAGACTCATAGTACCGCAAAGGATTAATACACTTTTCATCCTGTTCGTTCATAGACGAGTATACCTTCGAGAAGAAAGTGATTCAATTGTTTCACGTAGAATTGTTATTTAAAAAGGCGTTGTTAAGTTCCCTTTAGAATAAAATACAGTCCAACAGCCTCGGTCAAGTTTACGAGCTTTTCTAATATTTGACGTTCCACGAAATTATAATCTAAAGAAATAGATCCTGAAAATTTTGCTCCTTCCGTCAACAGTATAGACGAGCGAATTAGCTGAATCAAATCTATTAAATTATATTTTAAGAACATAATCATATCATTAAATTTCGAATCTCCTCTGATCATTTACAAATCTGCTCGTTTTATCTGTATACATATACGTGTCTGAAAGAAGTGTTGAAAGAAATTTTACAAAAACTATCAACATTGAAAAAATCCAAGAATAAATTCTTTTTTAGATTCTGCTACGCTGCGCGCGCGCGCGCGGGTACAGCACAGTTTAATGAAAGAAATTTTATGCATAGTTCTTGATAAACAGTCGTTCGGTATACGATCCGGGCAGTACTTAAAGAGAAGCTTTCACACGGCTTCGCCCGTTAAAGTGTCAGATATACATCGGTCGCAGCGTCCGCGGCACTGCGCCACTAACAAAAGTTGAAATTATCCGAAACTCGAGCGGACAAATTTTTCGTATGAAGCGGTCGAAGTAGGCTTGTAAAAATGAATGATCCGACCCAGTTTCGTGAGTACGCTACGGGCGATTCATCGCCGGGAAACATCGTGGCCCCATAAACACCGTGTCCTCATAAAATCTGTTAACGCGTTAATATCGTAGTTCCACGGGGGAACAATGCCGGGGGTGTCGCGATATTTTACAGACCGATAATGAATGAAACAAGTGCGCGGCCAATGAAAACGTGTTCGTCGATTAATATTTCGTTAAGCAGTCCGGCGGCGATAACGGCGACACCGTCGTCGGCGTCGGTGCCACCGCGGGTCGCCGTTCGCAAATTCTCTCGCGGAGGTGGGTGCTCGATTAAAACTAAAAACCCCCGCGGAAAACTTACGCCGGGTCGCGCGAGAAATAATGCGCGTAATTGCCGTTAATGCTCCATATAAATTCTCCGAACCTGACGGCGAACACTTTTCCGGCGGATTTTCCAATTCCGACCGACACTTTCCGCGGCCGCGGGTTCATTAACACCCGCCGCTCATTAATAATTCATTTCCCCCAGGTATCTGCTGATCACCGTGGACCAGTACGGGGTGAAGTCACGCAGCTGCACGACCAACTGCTCCGATCAGTTAGTATTGCATAATGCACAAGTTTTCGTTAAACGACCGGCACTGGCGAGGCCGAGGCCGTCCGGATGCACGCAGTCCTCGAATCGTTTGCTTGAAAAATTGCAGCCCGTCGGCAATCAATTTTAAATCGTTCGGCGAACGGTTTTCATCGGTCAGAATCGGGCCGCTTTTTTCGACACGTTCGCAGAAAGACTGGGAGATTGTTTTATCCCGATGAATTGTTGTCGCCGGCCGAGGTATCAATTAACGACCGGCCGGGGTCGGCGTTTGACATTTTTGACTCGCGCCAAAATTCAAGTTACGTGCGACTTGATCGCGCTTCGTGTACGGTGTGTCGAGCTTTTATTTAAATAACCGAATCTCTGTTCCGGCAAGTTCCATTTTTTTAATGAAATCCAAACTGATTGAATTCTTAGTATGTACTTTCGTGTGAGATAAAGTCGTTTGAAAATTACAAATATCGTACATTAGCGACATTATACACGGTATTTTTAATCGTATGGGCAATACGGTGAAATTCTCATAAATCGTTCCTCAGCTTGGAAACGAGAATGGTCAACTTTGGAAATCGAGATACGCTCATTGGAGCCGCGAGGCTGGAATAATCGTATCTCCTCTTCTCAAGTTGCCCATTTTCGTTCTCAAATTGAGGGACAATGCGACAAATTGCTCGCAATAATTTTGTCATTTACTGTACAGTTGTTTCTTTTTCACATTGTGTAATTGCGGCTACATTTTTCATATGATTTCAACTGAAGGAAGATATTTGGCTGTACATTGGAGATAGTAACGCGAAGGAAACCGCAGTCAAACTGTCCGCAAAAATAGAACGTTCCAATAAGTTAACCGCATTAGAGACAAATAAATTGTGTTGCCCGAAGCCACGGACTTGCTAATCGCATTGTCTCGCTATCATTGTAGCAATGTAAGGACTGATACGGTTCGAAAACGCAGACGGTTGGTAATGTAATTTACGTCGGCGGAAGTGGCTTCGAGCAACCGTTGGATTTTCATCCGGCCATGACACTTTAATGCGTTCTGCGGCAACGGCCAGAGTTACTGTTTTCTATTGTCGTCTTTGAAATGATTTATTCCGCTGGCTGTTCCACTTTGCAACAGGGTAGTGTTCCTGAATCGATGCGTGCTGAAGCAAGCGACCGAAAGAGACAGCTCCATCATCAAGAAACTTGGTTTGGAAAATTTCTACAAGGTCGGTAGCAACATTTTCAGTAAAAGTCGAGTACAAGTACGTATTGTGACCGTGTTTGAACGTAGATGTTTTGTGCTTAACCATCACAGTGTGATCATCGGTTGCTAAATAATGGTAGCAGTGATCGAGGGGTGGCAACCCTTAGCAAAACGAGTAGGGTGTGGTCAAAGAAGAAAATTCGTTTGATCGATTACAGCAGCTACTAAGAGCAGTCTCGCTCCGGTTAAAAATAAATTGTTGTTTCATCCTAATAAAATATGATTAAGACGTTCGAGTAATAGCTCGACATTGGCGACGCTAATTGACGCTATAAATATGCCAGCTGGTCACTCGATTTTAATTGACCTTACCCTGCGATTCGCGTGATAATTAATTCCTCCCATCAATGAAGGGTTGACAGCGCAATACGCGGAAAAATATTATAAAATAGTCAATGAGTTTCGCTTGTTTAATCAGTTAGTTGTTGCGGCCACTTTGAAAACTGTGCGCCCAAAATGTGTCGCAAAAAGTAAGCGATGACGAGTATACTACCTACCAGTGTATAAATATATGTATAATATACGAGACACAGAATAGTACCTAACTATACTAAATATATACAGTTTATTCATAATAATGATTTATATATTTCTATTCGTTCGTTTTATTTCGACTTGGCCTAGAAATATTCAAAAGATCTTAAAATTTACGAATACAATTTTAATTTTAGTATATTAAAATATTTTATTTCAAAAATTTAATTTATTTTAATTCAATTTATTTTAATTTAATTTAAATATTTTATTTTAAATTTAATTTTAGTATACTCGACAAAAACAGCTGACTGATTAACACTTGTCCATGCCTGGATCGAGGAGTTCGATGGATCCAGCAGCATCTGTACAATTTCAATCATTCCAAAGCATCAAATATAAAACCGATAATGTTAGCTGCAGCGTAAATGCGCAGAGCAGTCGGTTTAGATCGTTCGGTAAAAACCGTCACATTAAGTCGATTTACAGCTTCCGCGAAAGGTATTGCCGCGGAAGCGAATTACGTTATACCATTTAACCCCCAACTGTTAGGGTGGAGTTAATTAAACCTCGATCAGGAAAATGGGTGGGCTACATGCTACTCGTCCGACCATACGTGTGACGTCCCCCCCCCCCCGCATCGTTGCTGCTCCCCGGCAATTCGAAAATCTAAACAGCGCGAAGCAACCGTTTTTGTTTGTCGTCGATCCGTATTTCTTGTGTTATTCCGTCCATAGTTCAGCAGGCGTGCGCGGCCGTGTGCATGAAGCTTGAAAATAGATTAGGCGCTTGTGCGACCGGAAACACGTCTCGGTGAAATTAGCGTATCGCAGTTAATCCTAATCGAAAATTGTTCGGGTGTGTAGCCTCTAACAAATTCTGGAAATGATTTCAGGAAGCGTCGAGGGACCTGACTGTCGCATGGCGGGAATTGATCTACCTGCTGCTTATAGCTTTAGGTATGCGTTGCCGGAGCGCGGGCGACCGTAATCTCCGTTCGGCATTCTTCTAATTTTTCTCGAACGACTTTCAGCTATCTCCCTCGGAATCTTAATTGCGTTCCGGTATGTGGTGCAGTGGGTCGTTTACATTGTCTTAATCGGCGCCATTCTCGCCTGTATCGGTGGCTCGGCGTACCTCTGGTAAGCGCATCCCTTCTCCGCCGAGATTTATCTAGACACGATAGACCGCGTGACTGGCGATATAACAGTCGCCACCGTTCCACCCGTCTCTTTCGGGTTACTCTATCGCCGGGCATTATGTTTCTTTAGGCTCGCGTGGTACGCCGAGAAGAAGGCGGTCGACGCTGACCAAATACCTGACGAGGATTCCAGCCAGACGGCTTACTTCATTTATGCAGTAGCTTTGTCCACCGTCACTGTAAGAATCGTTCCTTCCTACACAGAAACAAACCGTATCGCGCACCCCGCTAACTACACAGGGTGTAGTCAGTCCGACCTTTTAGACCATTGTTCCCTAATTTTTACCTATCGTGTTCGCTTCGTTTCAACATTTTGAAATATACGCGCGTACCGAACACTTTCCGTCGGATATTAGCTCATCTTGATATCAGAGTTCAGGCAAGATTTTATTCGGCTGACGGGTAATAGGTAAATACTTAACGATTCTAATAAGTAATTGAAATTGAACCGATGCTGAACGTATTCGTATAAACGTATTCTTGTGAAATTACGTGAAAACGGAAACAGTCGACGATCATTCTCCCGTTATTATTTGATTGCTTTTACAATCTCTATTCGAACAGAGAATTATGCGAATAATTTATCCGAATAAATATTTAGAAAAATTTATGAAATAATGAATAATCGTTATTCGACCGGTAGGAATTCACTCGGATCATTGCCTTGGATAAACATTTATTCGAAACATTTCGAATAATGCCCAACTTTGCTTAATAAAATTGTCATATTAAAGGAGATTTTTTGATTGTTGAAGATCATCGGTAAATGGAATAACAATCGTGAAGTAATAATTCAGCTAGACTCGCCCAAATACACCCTGTGCGAGGATAAAAGCGTATTATAATTGGCGATGATTATGACAGTTGGCTTAAATCGTACATTTTTTTTATGTCAAGACATTCATTTTTGCCACTTCAATAGTTAAATTACCAAACGAGAAAAACTCAGTACCTTTAACCGGAACCACTTTCATAATTACCAGCGAATATCGTAGGACTTTCGGAGCTTCTGTCGCAGCAAAATTAATGTCCGTTCGGTGACATTTGACTGGAAACTAGCAGCGTTTAAACTCCCGAGTCCCAAGAAACTACCGAATTCTCGGGAGCGAAGAAAGTTTCGCGTACTCAGTGCCACGATTTACAGGTCATCACGCTTCTGATCGTCCTGGTGATGCGAAAAAGAATCGCCCTCGTGATGCAGCTGTTCCGCGAAGCGGGGAAAGCGGTCTACGCGATGCCGGCTCTGCTTCTCCAACCGATATACGTAAATATTCGATAACAGTGCGATGCGGTGCTTACTCGTGAAAGTAAAAGGACACTCAGCTGCGTTTAGCATATGAAATAATCTCGAGTGTTTCAAAAAATATTTTAGGGGGACGGTCTCGGAATTGCGTTGCTGCAATTAGGACATAATTGAACTTGGCGAAAAGCATATTAAATTTCGAATCTTTATTCGAGTTCCTCTTTCCGTAGATTCCTCTGTAAAATGTAAATAGACAAATTGTTTCGATCGGTAAAAACATCCTCTTTGTGTAGATAAATAGAGATGTCATCGTTAAACTGTGGATCTTTATGCAAATTTGTAATTTCATACGTTATTTTGTAAAAATTAGAATTATAGAAAAATTCTCCCATTAAAAGATTACTTATAGTAACAGGAAAATAATGCTATTAGTTCTTGTTACTTTATGCATTTTCTTGCATATTAGAGATTCGAACATGCTATGATTGCTTTAAGATTCGCAGCCTAGTCATCAGTATTTGTTATAGTTTACGCATTCACATGTCATATAAATGCATAGAAATCTGCGGCCTACCTATTACAGTCAACGATGACTCAACCATAAGCTAACAGAGTACGATATACATATGTACGTCTAAATAATGTCCGAGTACTATACCGTTGAATTGTTTTCTAATTTTACTGACGTGATCTTGAGACGACCACCCACTGACAATTCGTGTGTAACATGATTTTAACGTGATTTGCCAATTGCGAACACCTGCAGAAACGTACCAGACAAATAAAATTGCCATAAAACGAATGTTATTGTCAAGTATACATTATACTTAACATAATGTAATAATCTAATTAATAATAGTATACATCAATATGTATACTATGTTGCTATAATACGAGAGAATTAGGAGGGTCAAAGTAAGTCAGACGTAAGTCACGCTTTCCTCATTGTGAAAAACAAGAAGTATCATTGTTTACTAAACAAGCTTATCGTTAAATTAATCTATAGCAACTGTATAATTTATTTCACGTGTCTTTGTAACATTTTGTCACTTAACAGAACACAAGCCAAAATTTTCGAAGATGCGCCTTACGTCGCTACGACACTCTAACCGAATTCAATTATTGATTAAATTCTGGAAAACGGGAAGCAATAGCAAACACGAGTCCACGTAACGAGTAACAATACTTTGCTAAGATTCGTCGTTGCTTAAAAACAAACAGAACGCGTACGCGATTGCAAGCAACGATAAAAAGATTCAGGTGTAGACGCACCCTCTGCCGTGTATTCATATGCAAACGAGTATGAAACGTGGATACTTTCACGATACGCATAGGCTATCGCGAACGATGCGAAATCGTGCTTTCAGACCTATCTGCTGATCGGTTTCGTGGTGTGCGCGTGGGTGTACTGCATGCTGTGGATCGAGAGCGCGGGCAACATCCACATGAAGAAAAATCATGTCCACTTCGAGAAAGACGGCCTCTTGATCGTAAGTATAGCGATCGAACGGCCGTTACGGCCGTGATAGCGAGCGCGGGGCATTAAAGTGCGCGAACCGCTCTGTGTTTTGCAGGCGAGCAGGTGGTACAACTTGTTCTTCTTTTTCGTGACCTGCGAGTTCCTTCTCGGCTGTCAGCACGTTGTCGTCGCCTGCGCGGTTGCACGGTGGTTCTTCACCAGGTGACACTTTGATCAATATCATAGTTTGCCGGTGGATTGCTTCCCGCGAGGGGGAATCTCCATGGACACCGTTCGCGGCCGCCTAACCGCGTTGGACCTCCGCGACGCGAATAATCCTTTCGCCCCGATATTCTCGGATCATTCGCGGATCCCGCGTTTAAACTTGATCTTAGTCCTCGCCGATACGATCGTTTGAACGCGCAACGATACCGAGATACGATCCCGGTTGCCGGAAGAAAGTCCACGAATGACAATCGTCGAAGCCAATTCCCGTGTAATCGGTTCCCGGTTAATCGAATTCTTAATTGTCCCCGTTTAACGTGCGCGTGCCGTGGGAAATTCCCCGATTAACGACCGTCAGATCGCGGAGAGCAATCCGGCGCGGGTAACGACAAACTTCATTAAAGGATATATTTTCTGGTCGCAGGGACAAGAAGCGGCTCTCGTTCGCTGTAACGCGCGGCTTCGGTTATCTCGTGCGATATCACTTAGGTACGGTCGCGTTCGGCGCATTGGTTATTGGTATAGTTCGGTTCATAAGAGCGATAATTTCCTTCGTCCAAAATCGCCTGAAGCAGTACGATAACGACCTAGTGAGGGGAATATTGTGCTGCTGTCAATGTTGCCTCTGGTGTTTCGAGTGCGCTCTGAAGTTCCTCACCAGGAACGCTTACATCGAAACAGGTATTAACTGCTTAAGTACGCCGACGTATCCAGCGCGGATCTATTCGAGCATCTCCGTTCCGTGCGAATTCACTGAAAAATTATCTAACCCCAACACGGTGGAAGTGCACCGATACATTAATTTCGTTAGCAATTCTCTAGGAGACCGTGTCTTCATCGTTTTGATTGGTTTAGCAGCTCCACCGTTAAATTCGATTTGTTCTGCGTGCTGCCTTGTGCAACAAACACAAGAGCACAGTGAATTTCAAAGTTATCGGCACGGGGATGTGTTCCGAAATATTTCTGAATCGATAAAAGTAACGAACGATAATAAGATATTTTTGAGCTTACAGGAGTATCGGTGCACGCTGTTAACTAATTGATAGTTTGTAATTTAAATTATTGCGAGAGTTTTAGGCATTCTGTGCAACAGTTTGCGACATAGATTTTCCAACATCATAGTGTCCACCTTTATTTTTCACTTTTTTACCTTTCGAGACGTTTCAGTAATATTTCTAACCGTACAGTAAATTTTCTGTCACCAATTTTATTGCTTTATTTCATTTTATCTACCGTTATAATTAATACAAGGAACCGTGTCTGTAAATTTATTAGCTTGAGAAAGCATATCATTATTTTTCTCTGTCCACGGTAAATGTAATTTCACTTTTGTTTCACTTAATTAGATTAAAAAGAAATTGAATATACTTTTGTAAACCCTTCAACCGACACTCATCTGTGCTAATAATTTTGAAACGTACTGTACATACAACATTTTGAAGAAGGCAGTAGCAACAGTTGTGACCACAGAAACGATCTTTCTAATTAATAATTAATTATGCACAGCTGCTGAAAAGCTAGAATCACGTTACACGAATGAAGAACGCTATCGCGCGGATCTAATCACGCTACAACAAGAAAGAAACGCAGGATACTAATTAGTAGACTGCGAATTTTTATGCAAAATAATTGTACGTACTAATTACAAGATACAGAAGCTCCACTGACACTCTTGCTTCTTCTCTTAATAATTTTAATCGCTTGGAAGCAATATGCAACAACATTTTCAAATTCTTTGAACACGTATTACGCTGTGTTTTATATTCAATCTACTCGCTGTTGTCACAACTGCATGAAATCCGCAGGCCGCTGGTTACAAAATAAAAATTCTCCGCGAGAAGAAAGCGGCGTGCATCTAAAGAAATAAAATAGATTTCACGGAGTGCGGGGAATACTTTTAAGGTTCAGCAATGTTGCGCGCAAGGCATCGCGCTGTCTTTTCCCGCACGGGTGAATAAAGAATCCGGGGAGAAGGTCGTGCGAATGAAATAGCCGAGATACGCGGTCTGATAACGAAATGCGCAGGCTAAAGATGCGATAACGGTGCCGTTGCAGCGATCTACGGGTGCAACTTCTGCACGGGAGGAAGGAAGGCGTTCATTGCGTTGGGGAGCAACATTTTAAGGGTCGCCGCCATTAACAGCGTCGGCGACTTTGTCCTCTTTCTGGGAAAGGTTCTGGTCGTTACATTAACGATCGTCTCGGGCATTTATCTGGTGCAGGTACGCGTTAGCATCGCGAATATATTCCCGGGCAGTTCGGCGGGCTCCTAATTTTCTTGTGCACTTAGAAAAAGGAGGGCCTGCACCATCCGTGGGTGCCGATAGCGGTGGCCGGGCTGTTCGCGTTCCTGGTGGCGCATTGCTTCATCTCCATCTACGAGGTAAATCGATCGCGGGCTGGGTGCGAAAAAAGACCCCGACTGAACGATCGCGACCGTTTAACACCGATTCTGTCGTTTGCAGATGGTGATCGACACCATATTCATCTGCTTCTGCGAGGACTGCGAGAAAAACGACGGCATCAGTAGGCCCTACTTCATGAGCCGTGGATTAATGGTGATTGGAGCCGACGTCGATTCGTTGCACGCATCGGGAACCGATATTAATAAGTTCGCTTTTGTTCCAGGAATTCGTCGAGAACAGCAAGAAGGCGCTGAATTATCTGGATCACCCGCCATCCAGCCCTCGTTCGTAATACCTGAACCGCCGGTATTCGATGAAAACCATCGGAGGGATGCGAGGAACCCGCCCGCCTTCGAAGATCCAGCGAGCAACACGGTTCACACTTGCAACTCCAGGCTTCGCACACCTCTTCCTGTCGCTGTGCTGCTCTTCCCGCGAGTTTTAATAAACGGTCGGGGCGGCCCTCTCGGTTCTCATTTACATGTTGCCACGTGGAGGAAGTCTGCCACGAGCCGCGGACAATTTTGATCGACGTCTGACCTCCTTCCGTATCTTGGCTCCCCGGGCAGGAAGATGGAGAAGGAACTCGAGGATAAGCGAGATAAGCGGGCCAGGGGAAGGCTCGCTGCAGAAAAGACTGATAAAATTGGGAAAGCGTATTGCAGCACGGAGGCTGATCTAGCCGGAGAGGATTCGGCGCGTTGCGAATGCCGTACGCGGTTGCCGTCCCAAAGAAGTCACAACAATCTTGTCGTTCAGTCTTCTTCTGGGTACACATTCTGCTAATTCGAACAGCGTCGTTACTTCTTGAGGAAGCTTGTTGGGACGGCCGGCCGACAGCCGAAGAAGGAATCCGTCGACCTAGATCCGGACAGCTCAATTACTCAGTCAAGAGACGGTCCGGCATTCTATTCGGCCCGTTCTTTTCCTCCTCTCGGACGCCACACGCGCCGCCTCCGAATGGTAGACAGGTCAAATTGTCTGGGACTTAAGGTGTCCTCTCCGTGCCGCGGTACACGTAAGTTTTAGACAGCGTCGGTAACGCGCGCATTGTTCTTCCAAACGGAGGACGAACAGCATCGCTGCTTCTGTCGTTGCCTTCGACTCGCTGACCTCGGCTGATCCGGCGGCGGCCGCAGCTTTCGATTGCGTACATCCGAACAAAAGCGTTCACATTCCCATAAACGATGCTCCGCGATCACCGAAGAGTTCTTGTATTTTTTTATAGCCGGTCGTCGCACAACGACGCGTTTAAGATAGACTTAGGAACGCCGTTTCTATACATTTACTGCGTTTGGTATCGTCGGCACCGCTACCGTCGCGCGGTGCCGTATTTTACATGTACGAGCATGTGTTCCCTTGTTACACGACGCACAGATAACGATCAAATTTACTTTCGAGCTCTCGACTTGTAGTAGACGAGCGGATTCTACTTAAGAAACGAGTTTACTTAACGCGTGTACATGTATATTGCGAATAATATAATATATGTGTGTAATAAATGTGCTTCGAATCTTCGATCGCTCTTGGAATCGGTGTTTAGAAATCTAGATTAAAATTCAAGATCTGCATCGGTGTCTTTATAAAGTTTAATAGGTGGATTCGTGTGTTAATGTATGTCGAGTGTAACGAGGGAATACCGTGCGATTCGGATAGCAGAGGCGGCGAGGAATCGCCGCGAGAAGCGCGCGAAATTGGCGATATTTTGTAAAAAAAAATTTCGAACTGGACACCGTGGATCGCCACAGGAACAGTTTGAAAGGCTGCCAGGAATGGCGTGCGGTATTAGATCAAAGGCGATAGCGCGAGCAAACCGCGCGGCAGATACGCGGCGCGATAATGCGCGACTATCCGGGTAATTGCAGGTACATCGATCGCCATGTTGTATATAGTTTTTCACGCGAGCCAGCCCACCAATGATGTGTTTCCTTCACACCGTATGTCACACCGTTTTTTGATAATCGATTCATCCACGGCGAACAAACTTCATTTCTGTACGCGGAAGCGCTCGTGGCTGCGTGTTGATCAAATACTTGATAGTATTACAATTTTAATAAAAATCGTTTGAAAGTAAGCTTTTGGTGCGTTCTTCTTGACAACGTTGCATTTACAACGCGACCTCGATCGTAACACTGAACGTGCCGACCGCTAAAACTGCTTCGTCTCATCTTATATAAATTGTAAGATCGCGTTTATTTAGAACAAATGCAATTTTGATGACAATATATTCTTGAATAAAAAATTTAGTTCATCGTTTTCCACAAAAGCATCGCGTTGCGATTGCAATAATTCTAAAATAAAAAGATTGTATTAGGTCTACCGGAAAGCTCTGTCCGTTTAAGAAATGAAAGGAAATAATAGATTTTTCATAAATTTAGTAATATTTATATATATTGTACAATATAATTTCCGTCGTTACTTATGACCTTTTGCCAGCGTGATGGCAATTTGTGAGCAACATTTTTCAAAAATATATGTCTCATATGAATATGTGCATATCTATTGAAATTTGCAATGACATTATCCGACAGAACTTTCCGGTAGATCTAATAAATCTTTGGTTAAAAATTTGGTTAATCGCTTTTCACGAAAGCATCATTGCGATTGCAATAATCCTAAAATAGAAAATTATAAATCTGTCTATTAACCGGCGATGGTACGTTTAGTGTTAAATTCATTTCACGGATTATTTCATTGTCAACAGCGAAGCAGGTGAAACATTTAAAACCAAACGGAGGACTTACCTTGTTCGAAGAGGATCCTTCAAACGTACAGACGGCTCAAAAAGAAATGCTGTCTTCTGTGAACGCGAGACCTCGAAAAGAAACGATCACACTTTCAGAACAGTACTTTCGATGATTTATTAGCGGAGCGTCGTAACTCTGCACCGCGACGAGGTAAAAAAAAAGCGACAAATAAAACAGAACTGTAGATTCAGTGACCTCGCAGCGGTTTTTCTTCCGATCGTCCAATTAAAGAGGAAAGCGACCTCGAACGGTCGCAGGAAACGGAAAACGGGATAGGTCGTCACAGCAGAGCTCGAGATTCGTTACTTTTTCATTTATTCGATTCGGGCACACAGTTATTGCATGAATGATTATGCGTGCCCTTCGACGAAAGGATCGCTCCTCCGTTGGGGCACGCAAGTGGGTCGTTTCGTTACACTCAGCTGGCAGTTAACTTGGGTCGACATTTACGAAATCTAAAGCGGACACTTTGTCGTACATATGTATGTGTATGCTCGCCGTTATTCATTTTTCCTCCTCCTGCTTCTTCTTCATCTTTTCTTTTTTCATATTTTGCGTTTTCGTGACCGAGACTTGGGGGCGCTTGGTGGATCCGTGTATGTGGTATATGTTTTATAATGCGTGTCTCTCTCTCTCTCTGTGTGTTTGTGTATGTATTAGACTCGTGTTGTACAGTTTGATCGCGTTGGTTCCGGTGGAAAAAAGATTCACTTACAAAAATTACCTCGGGACATTGTACTATGTGTGGCGTCGTCGTCGTCTCGACGACTGCAACGGGACTAGCGAACATGAGTTAGCGTAACACGGCGCTTCGCCTCGCGAAGCAGGCTTCTCTTGGGGGGGAATAGGCGCGATGCTCTCCTTCGTTCCTCCGAAAGAGATCCCTCGCAAACACGAAAATATCTCTTATTTATCATAGATAGTCTCCGCCGGGGCTAACATAGCAACCCGGTCGCAGGACAGGTCGCCGGGTACAGCTTGCGCGACGATTCGCCGGATCACCTTCTGCAGGTGTACAACAACTTGAAAGTTCCGTGCCGCCAGGTGTCCAACAATATAAGAAACGTTCCGAGCGGAATACGACGTCCGCTCGAATATCGGGCGTCTCGACACCCGGCAACGTATATAGCGCGCCGCTGGTTCCCGTGGCTTTTCAGCTAAACAGCGAGATTCAAGGGTCATGGGTCTGCTCTTCTCCGAGCCTCCGTCGAGCGGAACCGTCCTAATGCCCGTTCGCACCTTCCCNGTTGATCAAATACTTGATAGTATTACAATTTTAATAAAAATCGTTTGAAAGTAAGCTTTTGGTGCGTTCTTCTTGACAACGTTGCATTTACAACGCGACCTCGATCGTAACACTGAACGTGCCGACCGCTAAAACTGCTTCGTCTCATCTTATATAAATTGTAAGATCGCGTTTATTTAGAACAAATGCAATTTTGATGACAATATATTCTTGAATAAAAAATTTAGTTCATCGTTTTCCACAAAAGCATCGCGTTGCGATTGCAATAATTCTAAAATAAAAAGATTGTATTAGGTCTACCGGAAAGCTCTGTCCGTTTAAGAAATGAAAGGAAATAATAGATTTTTCATAAATTTAGTAATATTTATATATATTGTACAATATAATTTCCGTCGTTACTTATGACCTTTTGCCAGCGTGATGGCAATTTGTGAGCAACATTTTTCAAAAATATATGTCTCATATGAATATGTGCATATCTATTGAAATTTGCAATGACATTATCCGACAGAACTTTCCGGTAGATCTAATAAATCTTTGGTTAAAAATTTGGTTAATCGCTTTTCACGAAAGCATCATTGCGATTGCAATAATCCTAAAATAGAAAATTATAAATCTGTCTATTAACCGGCGATGGTACGTTTAGTGTTAAATTCATTTCACGGATTATTTCATTGTCAACAGCGAAGCAGGTGAAACATTTAAAACCAAACGGAGGACTTACCTTGTTCGAAGAGGATCCTTCAAACGTACAGACGGCTCAAAAAGAAATGCTGTCTTCTGTGAACGCGAGACCTCGAAAAGAAACGATCACACTTTCAGAACAGTACTTTCGATGATTTATTAGCGGAGCGTCGTAACTCTGCACCGCGACGAGGTAAAAAAAAAGCGACAAATAAAACAGAACTGTAGATTCAGTGACCTCGCAGCGGTTTTTCTTCCGATCGTCCAATTAAAGAGGAAAGCGACCTCGAACGGTCGCAGGAAACGGAAAACGGGATAGGTCGTCACAGCAGAGCTCGAGATTCGTTACTTTTTCATTTATTCGATTCGGGCACACAGTTATTGCATGAATGATTATGCGTGCCCTTCGACGAAAGGATCGCTCCTCCGTTGGGGCACGCAAGTGGGTCGTTTCGTTACACTCAGCTGGCAGTTAACTTGGGTCGACATTTACGAAATCTAAAGCGGACACTTTGTCGTACATATGTATGTGTATGCTCGCCGTTATTCATTTTTCCTCCTCCTGCTTCTTCTTCATCTTTTCTTTTTTCATATTTTGCGTTTTCGTGACCGAGACTTGGGGGCGCTTGGTGGATCCGTGTATGTGGTATATGTTTTATAATGCGTGTCTCTCTCTCTCTCTGTGTGTTTGTGTATGTATTAGACTCGTGTTGTACAGTTTGATCGCGTTGGTTCCGGTGGAAAAAAGATTCACTTACAAAAATTACCTCGGGACATTGTACTATGTGTGGCGTCGTCGTCGTCTCGACGACTGCAACGGGACTAGCGAACATGAGTTAGCGTAACACGGCGCTTCGCCTCGCGAAGCAGGCTTCTCTTGGGGGGGAATAGGCGCGATGCTCTCCTTCGTTCCTCCGAAAGAGATCCCTCGCAAACACGAAAATATCTCTTATTTATCATAGATAGTCTCCGCCGGGGCTAACATAGCAACCCGGTCGCAGGACAGGTCGCCGGGTACAGCTTGCGCGACGATTCGCCGGATCACCTTCTGCAGGTGTACAACAACTTGAAAGTTCCGTGCCGCCAGGTGTCCAACAATATAAGAAACGTTCCGAGCGGAATACGACGTCCGCTCGAATATCGGGCGTCTCGACACCCGGCAACGTATATAGCGCGCCGCTGGTTCCCGTGGCTTTTCAGCTAAACAGCGAGATTCAAGGGTCATGGGTCTGCTCTTCTCCGAGCCTCCGTCGAGCGGAACCGTCCTAATGCCCGTTCGCACCTTCCCGCCGACGTTCTTGAGGACTCGAGGATCTAACGGAGCGTGAATTAACGCGCTGGACATCGACGGAGTCCGCTCCGATTCGCGATTCCGGTCCTCCGCTGCTCGGCTTTCGGAGCTAGGATCAGGATCATCGCGCGCCGCTTCGTTGGCCTCGCCGAGTCATGGTCGCGCGCGATGCAACGCGTCCAACCGAGTTTTATTGTACAATTTGTTCAGTCTTAACCCATCGAACAGGCGAAGATCAGAGAATCGGGGATCGTCGGCAGTGACGACTGAAAAGAACCGCCCCTTCGCGCAGGATGTGTGGATAAACGGGGGCGTGCGAGAACCCGAAAATGTCGGGCCGCGGCGGGTTCCCGAAAGTATCTTGCGATTTCGCGTAGACTCGAAACGACGTTCAACTCTCCAAGAGTACTGGCGAACCACGAAATCGTTGAATTATGAGACATTTCGATACCCGACCCGATACTTTATATTTGGGAATCTTGCGGGCCGGTGTAGTCCCCAAGTATTATTCACCCCAGCAAAATGTTCGATCCGTCCCGAATATTTGGGAATTTTGTGGATGAGCGCAGTCCCAAAATGTCTTTTCCTCCTCGAAATTTTGGCGAATCTTGCAACCCTTTAACTACGAAGCACTTTCGGTATCCGACCCGAGAATTTGAGGATTTTACGAACGAGTGTAGTCCGAACCTGTTATCGACCTCCCAAAGCTGATCCTGAGGAATCCCAAAACTCTCGAACTATGAGATACATTTGGTCCGAACCGAGGTTCGGATTCCCGACAGTTTCGGATCCTCCCACACCTCCAATAATAAATAAATTGCTGCATCACGGGTACACGTGACTCGGCATACACGATCACGCGTTCGTTCGCACACTCGACGCGCTTGGTGCTATTTTCTCGGCCTATCAGGGGTCTACAGTTCGCTTCGACGAGGAAAGGAGATCGGAACTTGAAGATCGAAATCGTGGTTTTAGGAAACGGCGATCGCCCATTTGTTTTATCGCAGACTTTTACAGGTTGCTGACAGTTTCATCGATTCGAGGCTGCGTTGGTACCGTCAAGATGATTTTATGGTAGAGGTTGTCGTTCGTTTGATACGTGTCTGCCGTATTCTCACCGAAAAGCGAAATCGAAATACGCTCTTGGTCTCTTTGCCGATCGGGAGACTGCGGGATTTTCGCGTAAAATACGACAGTACATTGAGTTGCGCAGGCTTTCGTCTATGTCAACGACGACAATTTTCTTTCTATAAACAATTTCGCGGCTCGTTTCTCGTACAAATGTCTACCGATCCAGAAACTCAGCCCTAGAAGCGGTGATCATCAGTTTTCTCGCACCCTGTACTATTCGACCCGAATCCCGTACTTTGGCACCAATTAGAACACAAATGCAGGGTACTACTATACAAATGTTCGTTCCGTAACAATTTTAGTAGATCGAAAGTAACATATCGACGCTCTTCAACTCGTCCGACCTTTCCGCCGCGTTCGATCTCGGCCACTTCATCGTAAACGCGTAAACTCCGCAGTCTGCCGATTAGGTCTCTCGATTGGTGCTGCACTAGAACCTTGTCACCGCGAACTACTAGGTTACAAATATTCCCTGTACCCTGATATGGATTTCCATCTTACTATGTCGCTAAGTGTATAACGATCTACGACGGACACAGTCTTCTTTGAGGGATGAACGAGAGGAATGGAGACAATGTATAAAAACTTGGTGAAAGACGCGGACAGGTGTCGTTCGCTCGCTCGCACGCGAAACAAAACGATGAGACACAATCAAATGAAAGAGCAGATCCGAACTGATCCCAACAGAGGCAGTATAGTACTGAAGTGGTCAACTTCCGATTCACCGAATTTCAAGCATCAATACCGACAACAACCTCTAGACAGCAGACGGTACCAGGGACAACGATGTCAAAGATATCGTTTCGATCTTCAACGGCTGGACCGATCGCTGATACATATAAAAAAAAGTGGGTGGGTATAGGTGGGGGTGGAAAACGCGCGCGCAAAGCGAGAATTCTGCCGAATGACCTGCATTCGATCTTCGAAGCGGTCGAGTCCCGGGATCCAAGAAGCTCCGCGGCGTGTCAGGATCCGTGATCGCCGCGCCGGCAAGATGTGCTTCGCGATTTGTCATGGATCATCGTTCCCGGCGTCGCGCTTCGTGCAGTCGCGATCGTTTGTTTCCCGACGAAGCGGGATTCGCCTTGGTTCGACGACGACGTGTAAGGGTGTCGCGCGGCGCTCAGCCGGCAAGCGCGCGGACACTCGCCGCCATTTGTGTGCCAATATTTGTCTTGAACAGCATGACGAACTTGCGGCGGGAGTGAGTACAAAATGTCGAAGAGTCGGAGAGCAGCTCTCATTGGGATCCCTCGTCGTTCCAAGTCGTTTCTATTCCCATGATCTTCCGATTGCGATGCGAGCTTGTTCCGTCGTCGTTCTCCACTCTGTTTTGGTCCTAGAATGTATCTTCTCAGTCGATAGTAATAGCAGTGTGCACAAGAAACATTGTCTAAATGTAAACCGAGCGGGCAGAAGCTTCGAGAACTTCCAAAAAGAGCTCGCGTGGGGTTCCCGGGATCTAGAGATCGTCTACGTAAGCTACGTTTCAATTTGAACTCTCCTCTCGATTACGCTACGGTCCGAATACAAAACATCGTGAAATCAGTTTCGTTTAAATCGTAATAATACTTCGCTGCCGCGGCTCGCCGACTCGAACCGGCACGTCTCCGAGGCTCCAGGACTCTGGCGACCCTTCCCTGAGGGGCCAAGGCTCCTTCTTCTTCTTCTTCTTATTCTTCTTTCCTGTCGTTCTCTTCTTCGCGTGTAGCACCAGTGACGACGTTTTCATCGAGTTCATATGTGCGTGCGCCGAATCGATATGCACATTATACAAATTCGATGTCGTTTCGCTTGGAACCGCTCGCGGTTTGTTCCGCGATGGTTCAACGGTACGTAGGAAAATACTACGGCGATCTTAAAGAAATATAGAAGTATGGGGGGGGGGGCAGACAGATAAATAAAAGAGAGGGGGGCAGCTAGAGGAAGACCGTCCACGATCGCGGCACCTCGACGTCCGCGTAACGTCAGGATGATTTGGTTGCGTTGCTACCTCGATACGCTTGGTTTCGCGTGACACGCTTTTAAATAAAGATAATAATAATATTAATCGTAGTCAATAATAATAATAATTATATAATAATATTAATAAACTCTGCAATATTCAATATAGGTTTGTTCACACGGACTAGATACACTTCCCGGCGAGCGACCGATCGATCGATACGCTCTCTATTCCCTCTTGACTCGACCCTTGTGCTCATCGACACGCATCGTTCAAGGCGCGCGCTGGAGAGGGTTAAAGAGGGAGGAGGGTAGGACAAGGAGGGCGAGGCGGAGGAGGTGGGAATGAGCCATGAATCGGTTGAATACATTGACCATTGACGCATGCCGCGCGTAACCACCGGGGTCGTGGCTAACGATTACCACAATCTCGCGTTCGGATGATCCGTTCGCTGTAACTCTACGAATCGCTTCACGTCTGCACACTCGTTGCGTCGTTACGGCCGACCTTTTACGCAACCGCGTGTCTCTCCGCGTTATTAGAAAATAGATTGCACTTGGTGATAACCACGTGGCCTCTCTCTCTCTCTCTCTCTCTCTCTCTCTCTCTATCTTTTTCTCTCTTTTTCTCCGACTTCTCTCCCAGTCCCCGCGTGCCCCGCTCCGTGCCAGTAATCGTTAATCCATTGCAACAAAGGAACATTGCGGCGCGTTCATTGTCGAATCGTTCGATTCTTGTGCCGCGTCGCACACGGTGTTTCTCGCTCCACCTAACAGAAACCATAACTTCGAATGAGATTCGAAAAATCTTAGTAATTTAATTGGCCGATCTTTTATCCGAAATAAAAACAAAAAAGATCCACTTGTCGAATAAAATATAGCGAAAGACCGGTCAATTCACCGAATATTGCTAACAAGATATGAAGATCTATCTATTCGATTCTAGCTGAACATATTTTCAGCGTAACAAATATATGGTTACGTAATCTCTTTCGAAAATCTTATACGATAATGAAGCTATGGTTTTTGTCTTAGCCACCCTCGTTCCCGAAACACCGTGCATCGGTCCGCTGGCGGCTGTTGCCGCTTCATCAACAGAGGCTGCAGCACTTGGAGGCATCGCCTAGGTGAATGTGACAGACCGTGGGCAGCGCGGTGCACCCTTTTCCCACGACGCTCTCCTGCACCAGGTGCGACAGGCCGAGGTTCTGATTGATGTCGCCGTCACTGCCGCGGTGCTGGTGTTTCACATCGCACCATTGCCGACGTTCCCGCCACTTCTCGTCCGCCGTGGTGCAAAACAGCATGGACTTCGGCGAGGGCGGGCTGACACGGTCGCGGGCGATGCTGCCGCAGGATCGAGCCTTGTACAAGCGTCCTTTACCGAACAAACCTGGCAGAGGCACGCAGAGCTTCTTGTGCACGGCGAAGTAGCGACTGAGCAGCCGAATCTTCCTGTTCTTGCAGTCGTTCCTGTTCATGGAACCATTTCTGTTCTCTTTATCGTTGGACGGTATCTGGTTCACCGAGCCCCCGTTTATGTCCCACCTGTCCTCGCAGCACATCTCGATTCTCTGACAGCAGTCCCTTTGCGGCTCCTGCTTGTTGCACCGGCCGTTCGGGCTGCACCTGTTCTGTCCGTTCGAGGGCGACGACAACGAGGACTTGCCGGTGCTCAGGGACCAGCTCTGCAGCAACCTCTGCCCGAAGCCCTTGGCCTTCTGCATGGTGGCCGCCGCGTGGGACATCGTCTGCGCGATGTTGTGGGAGCCCGTGCTGCTTTGCGACACCGAAGACGACGACGAGGATATACTTTGCACCCCTAACACGGCCGAGTTCCTTGACACGTGACACTGGTTGTGACACGACGAAGGCGCTTCGGCCTCTTGCACCTCGGTGATCCGGTTCAACGACTGACTCTCCCTCAACCGCGTCTCTCCGGCTCTTCTCCTGCCCGCCCGATGCCTTCTTCCGAAGATCACCTGATTCTCCCCGGACCGGTGCCTCCCGCCGGTCGTCGTGGTAGTTGTGGTGGTCGTGTTAGTCGTGTTTCCGTTGTCGTTCTGATTCGTTTCGTTCGAAGGCTCCGTCGTGTGCTCCCCGTTCCCTACGCCTCCACCACCACCGCTTCCGCCACCACTCCCTCCGGGGTCTTGAGAATCGCTGGAGTCGTCGTGACTGTCGCGTCTGGAAGGCAAAGGTTTCGCAGACGCGCCTAACTTGTGCGCCCGCTTCTTCCTGCTCTCGCTGTCGTCGTCGCTGGCGTCCGAGCTCGAACAAGAAGTGGTACGTGTCTTATGGAACTTACTCCGTTTCTGATCGTACCCTGAACTCCTGACCACTCGACACTTGGAACTGCCGCTCTCCGGTGTCGGCACGGCGACCCTGTCCCCGTCCTCCAGGATCTCATTCAAGGTCAGCTGCGGCAACGTCGTCGACGCGCTGCTCGGCGACGGCATCGTCTTGTACTTGGGCGTGAGGGATAATACATTATCGCTTAGAGCCACGGGGCGAAGCGGGGTAGGCACCGTCGAGGACTCCGTCAAAATGGTCGTCGTGGTGGCGACCGTGCTGGAGTCGGACGGTTTCGCTGGCAATGCGGATTCCAGGGAACAGCCAGCGGACCGGTGTTGCGCCCCCATCCTCCATTTGTTCGGTGGTACGGGTCCCACCGGTTTCAAGCACTCGGTCACTGACATTGGCCTGGTTTCCGTAGTGGTCTGCTTTCTCGCCCAACCAGGCGGGTCCCCGAGACGGTTCTTCAGGTTCTCCTGGTAGGTGGAGTCGAGCTTTGTTGGCGCAGGTACTTTGTCGAACATGTTGCTTGGCTGGGGCCTACCAGGCGCGTTCAAGTGGTTCGGCGGAGTGACATCGTTGCCGTTGCCGCTGCTCGGACTCGACAGCCTCTCCTTCGCGTCAGTGATTACGGACACGACGCTGCCATCCTTCGGCGCCGCGGTCCGCTGAAGCTTCAGGCTCGGCTTCTCCGGCAGTTGCGACAGCCGGTCCTGCAGGATGTGCGAAAGCTTGCCCTCGGAGCGCGAGCCGCGCCGATTGAACGAGTTCAGCGCGGAGTTGCTGCCCCGCTCGTCGCGACCCGAACACGAAGACACGTCGTCCTCGTCCTCGTCCTCCTCCTCCTGGACGATACTGCACTTCCGAGTGCGGACGTTCTGGAACTGAAAAGGCCATCTTTTTTCCCACGGGAGGAACGCTTTCTTGGCAGAGCCGGCTCGGAGCATCTGCCATTGTCGTGGTCCGCCAAGCGGTTCCTGACGGCACGCTGTCATGCGAATACATACCTGCGGCACCTCGCCCGGCGTCCGTGGCACGCTCAGCAACGACTGGTTCACGGTGCTCAATGAATTTTGCTCCGTACGCAAGTTCGTTGCCGCGTCGTCTTGTCTGCTGAAAATAACCGGACACGGTGTTAGACGTCGTAGCGCGCTCGCGCGGATCGTTTGATTTGTTGCAAGTTAATGATCACCGAGCATACTTAGCCGAGACGTCCAGGATCTCCGGTCGAGACTTCTGCACCTGCTCTTGACGGTGCGCCCGCAGCTTCCTCTCAGCCAGCAAGAAATACGTTGCCGTTATGTGGTTGTACTCGTTATTGTCGAGGGCGCTGCGAATGGGATGAACAATTGGATATTAATATATAACGATAACAATTAACACATTGATATATAACGATAACAATTGATATTTGGAGCATTCGGTATCCAAAAAGATAATTGGATCAAGGAATAAAATTTCCACACATATTTGCCTTTATTATATAAATAATATTATTATTATTATTATTTATATATTAATTATATAAATATTATTGTTATTATTTATATATTAATTATATAAATAATATTATTGTTATTATTATTTATATATTAATTATATAAATATTATTATTATTATTATTTATTATTAAGTAGTTTTCTAACTACTGTAATTACCTGTGCTTATAGATGTAACAATAAACTAACAATAAGATATAGTTAAATAGAAATTAAGTTCTTTTTTCAATCGTTTCAGTAAGTCAGGTACAAGTGATCGACTTATTTTATTCGTAACCGAAGAGAATCCACAACCACGATAAAAAGGGAATTGCTAAAATGCCAACAATTACGAAGGACGCAATTTTTAAGGATTCGGAATTCAATACCAATTAAGGAATAGCCTAGCTATAGAAGCCAACAGCACAGACCGCAGTTCTTTCGTCGTCCATATTATAACAATAAGCAGCACTTGATCAGATTCCATCAAGTGTTCAAATACTTATGGACTACGGCGTATATACGCACGTATATACGATCGATTGACAGAGTGAATGGAATAAGTGGCGGGGCTCGAGACGCGATCGTTTCGAGAGGAGCCACCGGGATTTCACAATGGCGAAACGGATCGAACGCAGTTTATTCGAATCGGTCTACTCACTCCAATATTTCTTCTTTGGTGGCGATGTTACCGTTCACCATCTTGATGATTATGTGATTATGATGATCGTCGGAGACTTGTTGCCTGGACACGAGTGGCAACGCTTCCACGGAGTCGGAGTCGGTGCCGATTGCTAGCCACGGATCGGCAGCGATTTCTTCGAGGGTCGCTCTGCCTTCGGGTTCCCGGACGAGCATCTTCGCGATCAGTCGTTTGCAACCGTCCGACACGTGCGGCGGGATCGAGTACTTGCAGTCCATGATCATCGTCAAAGTCTCGCTGTCATTCGCCTCTTGGAACGGGGCTTGGCCGCACACCAGCATGTACAAAATTACCCCGAGCGACCAGACGTCTGAAAAGAAAAATTACAATAGGCTCGGGGCATTGATTGATAGACCGGCGGAGTTAGCTGAAACAGAGAATTGTTCCGCGAACTGGGAAGAGATTAAATTGTTTGCTCGTTGTACATACCCACGGCAGGAGCATCGTAACTATCTCCCAGCAGAATTTCCGGTGCCGAGTAGGCTAGAGAGCCGCAAGAAGTTTCGAGCTTCTGGCCAGGGCAGAATCTATTGCTAAATCCGAAGTCGGTGAGCTTCACGGTGCCCAGCTTCTCGAAGAACACCACGTTCTCCGGTTTCAGGTCCCTATGCACCACGTGTAATCGATGGCAATATGATATGGCTCTGACTATTTGCCGGAAATAGGTCCTGGCCACCTGCGGTCGATTAAAAGCGTATCAGTGTACCGTGTGTACGTTCGACAAAGGAAATGCCTGCCTGCCTGCCTCGAGGCTTCCCCCGATCCCACCAAGAAAAAAAGAATCGATCCAACTACATACACGCTGGATGTGTTTTCATCGAATTTCTTCTATATAATGTATGTACTCTGTTCTACATACATTTTTTTCTAAATTGTACGATCTCTCTCTCTCTCTCTCTCTCTCTCTCTCTCTCTCTCTCTCTCTCTCTTATCAAGGTTGCATCAGATTAATTAAAAGTATTGGCGAAGCGAGTTTTATCGCGTATTTTTAACTCATGTACCACAAGTTTTCACTTTCTCGTTGACCTCTTGCTTCATGATTTATATTTGAAACAAAAACAATTTAATTTAGCGCAACTCTGTGCGAGGAGATAATCGCAGCATAAAAGTAAAATACTTCGGTGTTTATTTAATATATTTATATAAATGCGAGTGATGCTGATATTAAATAAAAACTGAACTGTACAGTGAAATTAGAAGATTATTAAGAAATTATTGCGAACAAACTTTACGAACTATTTATTAAATTCCTTTTTGATTTTCTAATAATTCATTATAACTATGTATAATGATACAATTTTACATGGAAAAGGAAAAGCAAGAGACTGTGTAAATATCATAATCTTTCTTAAGAAATTTACATGGTTTTTAAACGGACGTCACTCGTCGAACTCGAATGTAGCACAGAAAATGTTTGCAGGCGAGTCTCTCTCTCGTCATTCCCGCTAAATTAATGGTTTAAAGTAAATGTTTTCCACAAGCATACCAGTAGTCAGATGTTTCGATTGCTTTGCTCGAATACTATCCCCAAGGGTGCACCGGCTCTAAACGCGCAAATTGGTCGTTAAAATACTCGGTTTCCCCAGCAGCCTACCGCGAACATTTCTTTCCCCGTGCTGAGCGAACTTGATAAGAGAGCGTGTAGACAAGAAAAACACTGCATTGTAGAAGGTAGCGAAAACGTTCTTTTCCGGGGCGGAGGAGCCTCGATCATTTTTATCTGTCTCGTCGGATGTTCCAGACATGTTATTATCAATTTATCGCTTTGCGCATCGCGGCGGGCTTCATTCACGCGGCGAAGATTGTTACGACCGTACGTTACCTCCTCGCTGAGCCCGCTGTCGTGCCGCATGATGTAATCGTAGAGATCACCGCCATCGCCGAGCTCCAGGATCAGGTAAAGCTTCGTCTGGGTGTCTATCACCTCGTAAAGCCTGACCACGTTCGGGTGTTGCACCAGCTTCATGCATCTCACCTGGCGGGGGGGAAACAAAGAAGATGGTACAGTACCGCGGCGGCAACCATAAACTGGTCAACGACCCTTTCTCCTTCCTCCTCTGGCCGTCCTCCGCACCTCCCGGCGCCCATTATCTCGTTGACCTTAACGAGATCTACAAGGTTCGGTGCGGAATCGTTCCGTAGATCGTTCCTACGCGATATGGCGTCGAACGGATCTTACGCAATCGGTCGTTAAGGTGCGTGTCCGCTTCTCGGCAAACCGACGCGAGTCCCCGATTGCATTTTTCGCGGGCGAACACGCCGTTCGAGAAGCACCGTTCAACAGTGACGAATGTTTAACCAGTTAGCTGTTTTTTACGAGTACGCTAAAAGCTTGCCGTTCAAATTGCAATTTCAATGAGAACTAAAATATATTCTACGTTTCAATTGCGTCATAAATGATGAACGTGTCTCGTATATTTTTTCTATCACGACTAGACTGCATATTTTATGCATTTGTAACAAAAAGGAGTTCGGTAATGTCTCTTCTAATTGACGCTCAGATTTTGCAGAAAAATGGACAATTTGGGAAGAGGAGATACGATTAGTCGAGCCTTGCAGCTCGTTTTTATAGTTGTTGACAACTCGTAACTATAAAAATGAACCGCAAGGATCGTATAATCGTATCTCCTCTTCCTAAATTGTCCATTTTTCTGCAGAATCTGAGCGTCAATTAGAGAGACGTTACTGTACATAGTTGAAACAAAACACGATGCCTCTATTAGAAGAATTCGACAATTCGATTGTATCATTTCTAACTCATTAAAATGATTCAAGATAGAAATCAATGTCCACGCATTTTCCGTTTATTGCAAACGATGCGCAAAAGTGTTACCTTGCATCGAAATTCGCAGTCTAATAGCGAATCTACGTGTGTAGTTCGATTCAGCAACTTCTCTGGCCGCTCATCGGCTTCTTCTACCCTTTTTCAAATACAAGCGATCATCGAAGTGTCGTAATCGTTGCCTTGAACGCAGCTTATTGTTAGTACAAAACTAAGGGAAACAGCAGAGAGCGGGAACAAAAGTTTCCGACGGACACAGTCCCGAGAGTTCCGATAGTTCTCCGCCTACCGCTTCCGAGTAAAAATGTTTGAAGTTGCTCTCAAACGAGTATACAATGCCAGAGCATCCTCCAGCTCATTGAGAACTCTCAAACGGACCCCACGCCTTCAAAATCGAACGGAGGAAGCCGCTCGAGCTATCCGATTCTATCCGACTAACTGACTAACCGGGCGAGTTCGGATCTTGGTCAATTGACAGTTTTAGCACGCTGCCGGCTGTCACCGAGCACCGACACGCGAAGGCGCCGGGTGCCTGTTTGCACTGAAACGGAAACAATTTCTGCGAGGAGAACGCGGACATGCTGGACGGACGTGATTAGAGCCGGGCAAACAGCTCATTTTCGTGCGGCCGACGATTTGCTCTTGCCCGTCGCGGACAATCTGAATAAACATCGGCCGCGGGAGCGCAAACAATCCGGGACGGCGTTGAACGGAAAGCGGAGATAAATGATCGCTGGAAAAATGTATGGTGTGCGGCGTGGAAAAATTTCCGACGGAATGTGGAACGGTTTCTAAAAGAAGGCGGTTTTACTCTAAAAGTAGGCCGTTGCAAATAGACAATTTCAAATAGGTAATTACAAGCAGGCGATTGCAAGTAGGCAGTCGAAGAATTTTGTAATTGATAGAGGCGCGCAAGGATGTCGGTCACTCGTGTTCGCGGCAACAAAAACGATCGTTGCCAGACAATTTTATTTTCTGCGCGGACAATACCACCTACGAGCGCGGATTTCATACGTTACAACCCGATAGAGCCATTGTTCCGAGCAATACGTTCTGCGATCGGATAAATCCCTTGCCAATTAATCCTCGACCTGCGCCGCGGAATATTTGCGCGCTGTATGACCAACCAAGCGAATGATATCTTCGCGTCAAAGAGAAATCCAACCTTAACACGCTGGATATTAACAAGGTTACAACGTATCGCGATAAATCTGCAACATTGCTTTCCAGTCTGTTTGAAACAGAATTTCGTAAGTCGTTCCCGTGGGTTACACGTTTGTAAAGAACACGCTCGAAAGCCGTGAAGGAAATGTTTCAGAGCGTTGAAAAGAAGACGAAAACATTTTCGTAGGGCAAGGCTACGAGAATCCTATTGTCTCGATGTCTTGGAGCAACGACTCGACCGTAGAACTGTGCAGAATGCACGACTCTTCAAGCGGCTTTAAAAATAGGTGCGCATTGATCCAGTCGTTCTAGCGACGGATGCCCCCAAAAATACGAGGAAACCGCGCGATCGAGAAGACCACCCTCCACATAAAAATCGTGCACGGATTTTACGCCTGCACGACGTTTTTGACCGCCGAACAGTCTATACTAAAACATTATTATATGGAGCGTGGAGAAAATTCTGTCTCTTTATGAAAAATGCTCCTTCTGTTCCAGTGTCCAAATATATCTCGTTTCTCAAATCCTTCATGTTTTCCGCATCTATTCAGTTTCAACTGAAAAATAGAGAACGATAAAGAGCGGGTTGCAATTATTGAATTGCACGAGAGATAAATGAAGAACGCCGACATTCATTTGACTGTCGGATACGAAAAAATGAAGGTGCAAAGGACGGCAGAACAAAAAGAACTGAAATTATTATTATTGAAGTTAAAAGATCTCCCATCGATCACTCGAGTCGACGAATGAGTTGAAACTAGCTTTACAAAATGCGTGGAACGTAATTACAATAACCGAGTGTGCGACAATCATTAATCATTTTCGAAAATGTCTTGGTAAATGTATCGAAATAGAAGGTGCAAATTCTGCACACTTTAAAGTAAATTTGAATGTTCAGTTTTGTGATCGATAATTATAGACTTGTTATTAATTGTTACTAAAAACTTAAAGAAAAGACCATATTTGTTCTATCATCTCTAATATAGAAACGTACAAATACGGTTTTTGTTTAAACATCCCAATAAATGTAAAAATCATTTTGAGTCCATAATTGTTCACAGAATCGTACGTTTGTTAAACTGGCAAAATAGATAGAATACTAAATTGAAGTATCCTTATTTCCAAAACAGCTAAATATAAATATTCTCCGCACCCTGTGAAGCCATAATCAGATTTTGTATCTTCCTTGAACTGCGGTTTTTCTTCCTATCTTGCTACGAATTTATATTTGCACAAAGATCTGCACACTGGTGACAATAAGTACGAAGCAGAACAGTGACAAAAGTAAACTCGGTATAAAGACAAAAGTAGAAAGTGAAGCATCCTACATGGCTGAGTAAAATCGAGCAGAAGAGTCTCCAACAAAATTCCGCCGGGTTTTCGCATGTGTTCAGCGGCTTGCGCGCTAGCATCTCCTAAATCCCCGCAAATTAGCCTCTAAAAACGTGACTCCGCATAAACATCCGTGGCCGAGCGATACGTTAGCCCTATTAACCAGATGATTTCTCGACCACGGATACCGGCGTGAGTGCAAGTAAAGCGAGACGATAGGAATCCGCGTCGATTTAACGCGTAACGAGCGCGATTACAATTTCATTTGCATCAATGAATGTAATATCACGACGACGATTTAGCCATCGGAAACTAGCGACGACGAAGCGAGAAAACTCGTGTAAGCGGTGTCCGTCGTCGCCGGTTAACGGGTTAAGAAACCCGTCGCAGACCAACGTCCTTTGGCACTCGATAAAGCAGTCTGAGAGTCGCAGACTGTTACATCGCGCTCCGGTTTAAATAAAAAGCTCGCCCCCCGCCCTACCCCCTGTGTCTCCGCGAGCGGAGACCGAGCACTCGGGTAAACAGAAGGGAGGAAAATGTAGGAAGGTATTAGCATGCGTTTCGATTTCCTCGACGGCCTCCTTTATGCCGGGCGTTCTCATTCACGCGACAGCCGGAGGGGAATCAGCGGGAACAAAAGGTGGGAAAAGAAGGATATACGCGTCGCCCGTCGGCGGGACGACGGCCCTCCTCGTCGTATCGACGGGCGAGAGAGCAACCACCGTTGCTTTCCCCCGGCTGAAAGAACGTCTAGGCTTTTCTCTTTGCTCCCTCACCTCCTGAAAGAGGTGCGCTCTCGAGATCTCGTCGAGCTTGCTCTTGTCGATGACCTTCACAGCGACCTTCTCGCCGGTGAAAACGTGCCGTGCCAGCTTCACGACGGCGAAATGACCGCGACCGAGTGTCTCCTCCAGGTCGTACAGGCCGGCGATCTTGCCATCGTAGTTGCTGTATCCCACCCTCCGATGCATCTCGCGTCCCTGCAACAGAAATCACGGACAATCAGCTTTCGGAAATAGTGCTGTCGCTTATGAGTGGACAGCGGATCTCTTTAAGCAAACTAACAATTTTCCCGGTAGAACAGAACGCTCGTTAGATGGAAATACAGGGTGTGTTCTTTACGGTTAATTACGTCACTTTTCACTCAATTTTTTAAGGTTATCAGGCTTTTAAAGGTTTTTAAAGTTTTTTTAAGGTTCAACCTTCGAAGGTTATTTCAACTTTTTTTTAACGAAATGTTGTATTTTCGTTTCGCTACAAAACAATCTATTTAAAAATATGAGAGAAAATAATTTATTGTTTGTCCCTTCTCCATTATTTAATTTTTCCATGTGTTCACATGACAAATCATAAAATATTATAATTTCTGTTATAGAATCATTTTGATAGCTTCCTGTTGTGTACAGATCAAGGCTTAGGCTCCTCGTATCCTCGGTAGGATTCGAATTACGTGGGGACCGACTTTAATTATAAACAAGAGAAATTATTAATTGGTGTTAAAATAGCAATAGCTCTTGCTCTGGAGCAACAAAGAACCGCGGTAGTGCTTCGTCAAGTTTCTGCTTCGCTGATAGCGAGTCTGGTAAGAGCGTTCGAGAAATATAATTTTTCTATAGTAATAAATTTGATGGGGGAACAGTTAATGATACTATTCTGTATTCGGAGGTCTTGCGACCTCCTTTCGTGCCAGAACCCCTCCTACTTCGGTCTGGAATGCACTAGGAAATGCAGATACTGGTTCTAGGATTGCGGAAGTTCCAGAGAATTGCTTACTAGACAGATGGTCCTGTTTGTAACCGGATTCTTACGAAGAAACTTGGAAGTGAAAATCATTGTAGAGTTTGATAGATGATGAGAATGTCATTCATTCTCTAAATCTAAATTATTAACCTATTGTTCTACTATGAGAATGATGTGTTTGTACAGGAAGTTAAGTCTTCCAATGTTTATCTCGAACGCGGTACGAGATAGAGCAGCATTGTTTAATTTGCGGTATTTACGAAAAACGTGATTACATGGTTTCTAAAATTAGAACAACATATAATACCGATATGACATAAAGCAATGATAATAATATAAAAAGCTGATATTTCTTCTTCTGTTATTAATTTGTATTCTTCGTTTTAGTCAACACTGAAAGGATTACCGTTAATCTTATCAAGCGGTAGAAGTTTCTTTCAGAAATGACAATAACTGTAGAGTGAAATGTCTGATTGTAGAATGAAAAGTCAATTGGCCGAACTGCGGCGGTAGGTTTGGTGTTCCATCGTAACGGGATTGTGTTTCGTGAAATTGAACGTGTTCGAGCATCGCGTTACAGAGCGATTACACTTTCATAAATATGCATCGGTTAATCCTTCTTCGGGCAGCGTTTATGTCACCGTTGTCCGTCGTTAGTGCCTGCGTTACGTTCGCGAGCGCAGAAACGCGTTTCTAACAACAAAAAGCAGATAAGAACACGGTAATCTGCGTTCTTTGAATAAAGATAAGAATTCCTGAGCGCGTAACGAAGAGTGTTTCATCAAAAATGTACGAAGCATTATTTAGATTGAAACGGGTACTCGACGCTCAGCATTGTCCAACATTGTTTAACGTTGTCCGGTGCTCGAACTATCTACTTTCTCATTAGAACTTCTTAATGTTAAAGGTCGACATTTTCAACGACCCTTCGAAGTAGGACGATCGGGAAAACACATGCGGGCACGGTTCAATGAATGTTTTGTCCCCGGATCCTCGATAAGTTAGTTAGTCAAGTGAACGTGGTCTCATTTAGAAAAAAAAAAAAAAAAAAACTGTTATTGATAGTCTCCCGGAGTTTCGAGAAAAATTGCGCTCCACCGCGGAGTTTTTAAACTTCACAAAGAGACTTCGCGATAACTTCGAAAGTTCGAAGTGAAAATAACTCACCGGTAGAGGATTTACGAGAATGTACAGTTACCTTTAAAAGTCAAGACACAAATCTATATTTTTTACTTCGCCGAACTGCATGGAAGTTCATTTTACTTTACAATTTTCGACCTATAGATTTCAGTACAAAGCTCATCTTACGCGAAATGAAACTTCGTAAAAATCTCAACTTTATGAGAATCGTATGCTCCCCCGCGTTCTCGCGTATTTCCAAGTTACGCGTTCCGACAGAATGCACTCCACTGATCCATCGCTTTTAATACCGAAAATCGAGCTTGATAAATGTTCTCATCACTTCCGAACGCGTAGATCGCATGCATTTCTGGAGGGTAACAATTCACGTCGGTGATTGTAATAACAACGTGCACGTGCTGCGCCAACGTCGGATCAGCAAGGAATAACGAACCGATTGTCCGCCATATATAGGGTGTCCCGGAAATCTCGGTGCAACCTCAAAGAAAGCTTCGTTGAAAAATAAGATGATTTTGAGACCAGATTTTCTTCGGTACCACTGTCCAACATATTCCGAGTGATCTAAATCCTCCAATTTTTAAATTAGTCCCAAAATGCGCATGAAAATTAAAGGATTGTTTGATCATATTCAAATGTCCACAATGTTACAAAACTTCGTTAAAGGAGTCAAAGTTAACCTTCAGCGATTTTCAAAAAAGCTTCTTCTTTATAAATAATTAGATTGGATTTTATGCATTTTTGACAAAAATGACTAAGTCGAAAAGAAAATGAGGAGAATTCGAGAATATTTCAATATTACGTACGTTTTATCGACATTATTAAAAAAAAGACAGACATTTTCATCTAACATATGTTTTTCCCCGTCAACTTGTGCAATTCTTATTTCGCACGATAATCCGTAGTCTATTAATAATAAACCGTTTATTATTAAAACGTCAATATTTGTTTCATTGGGGTGCGTTCTTATTACAAAAACGATGAAACACTATTTTAACGTGTATTCTTATTGAAATTCTATATTTGTAGACGGATAACGTTCAGAGTATAATTATTTCCACACACATAGTTCAGGGTGTCACTTTTTTCATCTGCTTCGCGGAAGGTTAAAAATAATATTCGCGGAACACGTAATTAATTCAACGAAGAAAAACTAAAATTAACTGTGATATTGCTTAACTTGTATTGCTCGAGTATCGAACTTTCGGCTTTCACTTTTTATCGAAACGAAGTTCCAGGATCTCGATTCGGATGAACCACCGTAAGCCGATTTCTACCGAGCACCCGGTAGAGAAAATAAATATCTGCGCCCACTGGACTGGCGGAATCAGGCTCAAGGCAGTCGTGTGTACTCTCACTTTTCCGTTGCACCGGCTGTTCCTTTGACGAGCTTAGCTGTCTTCGCGTATAAGGGTAAACCAGTCCCGGCTTCCGGTGCCGGCCTCCCTTCCGGAAGATCGAAAGCGGCCAGCGGCACTGCCGGAGAGATCGATCGGTCCTTTTCGAGAAGGATTTTCCGGCGCAACGATTCGAGCCATCCAGGAAAAAGGGGTCGCGACTATTTTTAGCGCGGCCGTGCAATAATTAAAGGATCCATCGATAGCGCGCGCGCGCGCGCGCGGGGCCGATCAGCGAACCAGTCCCGACGGATTCGGATAAGTCGATGGCGGCCAGTCACGTACTGATCGTGATTTACGAGTCCGCGCGAAGGCGAATCCGCTGCAGTTTGCACGCGAAATTCGTTTTCGCATTGACGGAGGGGAAAATTAGTTTCGATTCGACGCCGTGGCCCGGCGAGTCTCGTTTCACCGACGCAACGTGGAAAATGCTCTCCAGGTGTTGGCCGTTCGAGCCTAAGTAATTAGAAAGATTGGAATTCCCGTGCCATGCTCCACTAACCCGAAGTCCACACTTTCGAGATTGTACGGTACGATCCGACGAGAAGAAGCATCGAGGTTTAGGCTCTGCCAGAAAAACCGGGGTCGGCTCGAGAGTCCTCGCGGAAACGTCGAGCGTTCCGCTCGGCACATTTTTTCATTAACGCGGTAAGTGCGACATCGGTGTACAGAAAAGAAAACCGGATACACTTGTTTCGCGATACGAGAAGAGAAATGATAAAATTGATTACTGCGAGATAAACAATCGAGAATCTTACGAAGTTTTCTTTACTTAAACCCTTGCCTTACGATCTATTTTGGAGGACAATTTAATTTAGCGCGACTCTATGCAAGAATTAATTCCAAAATTAAACTAAAATGTTTATGTTTTTATATAATATATTTTATAGAAATATAGACACTATTTCGTTTCTAATAAAACAGATTAATAAAGCAAAGTCAACATTAAATAAACATTAAGAAACATCCTTTTTAAGTTAGAATGAAATTAAGACACACACAATAACAAAATAACATTCAACGTAATTGAAATTATTGTGAACAAACGTTACAAACTATTTAAATTCTGTTTTAATTTTCTAACAATTCATTGTAACTACAATGACACAGTTTTACATAGAATAATAGTATGTATATGTATACTTGCGCAGACAACGCACTTGTTTAATCGATATTAATGGTAACAACTTTTTCTTCAATTTATGACAGTAACTTCAACGTAATTCCGACGATAACAATTGAGAGCTACGGATAGTTATGTTATGTACGGATAGATATTAACAATGATTTATAGATATGGAACTAGAATTGTCAACCGAATGCAAGGATCGATAGCAGTTCCATTTAGTATTGATAGAATACTGAAGTAGACGGCTCCATTTATAGAGAACAATAACAAATGTATCCGCTACTCGAGTTCACCGAGCTATCTTCGTTTAAAATGTTTAGTACCAACGTCATTCACAATGACGACCGCGATCCCATATTTAGCGAGTCGAAACTCAAAAACTATTCATACAGATTGCTATTTAACAGCGCGAAGTTTAACCTGATAATCGACGGAAATTTTTTTTTGTATTACTCGTGTTATAAAAAGTCGGTTGACAAGTTCGAAAGAGTCGGGTAGGATCGGGCGAAATCTCGGGTCCCGAAAATTTCGGGACTGCGTTCGATTCTCGAATAGTCTCGGGTGGTCTCGGTCAGTT